GGAAGACGGAAAACGTGAAAGTGTAAGAAGGGAGGCGTCAGCAGTAGCATGTTTTTGCTTACCCGCCCTGGTGTATGCAGCAAGTAAGGCGACCCGGCTGATGGCACCACGCGACGGCCGATGTGGCATGAGAATATTGTTAGTTGTGTAGGTCATGGTTGTACGAGGGCTGGGATACTGCCAGGGCGCCCACACCTAGACAGGAGGACGATTAGGGCCGTCAACCAAAGCCTTTGGCTCAAAAGCCTAACCGCAAGGCAACGGTGTTTGGCGGGGAAATGCAAACGCATTACCTTTTCTACGGAACAAGTCACCATACATGTTCCAACCCCCAACCTGGAGGACCAGGAGACTGTGTTCGTAAGACCTCTAACCACTGACCAACATGGTATGAGAGACTCTGTGAGTGTCGCGCGGATACCCCCCAGTATAGCTCAATGGGTCGCCGAGGTACACAAACCGCCACACCACGGTAAGGTCCAGTCTCTTCGTCACGGACATAGCCAAAACATTGTAGTCGATAGTCCTGGATGTTTTCCGCATTATTTCTCCGCAGAGGCCACGTCTCTCAGCCATACAACAACACAGCGCTTACTGTACCTGGTAAACGCAACCCTTAAGACCCAGCGGTATGCCTTTTTTATGCTAAGGTGGTAAAGATTCGCAAACTTATATCGGGCCTTTGAGACTCTTGCATTAACGTCATCAGACACATTTCCGTCAGAGCTAATGCCATTACCAAGTTATACAGAATTCTCCACAACTTCCATTGATTCTCCCTAAATTGTAAGTGGTATGTTCAGAGACTGTGCCTTCTGAAGCATGACTTTGCACTTTGAAAGTGCTAGGCGGTTGCCCAAAGATGATATGACGGTGGCCAGTCTATTTAACAGCGATTGTGCTTCCCCTTGGTCTTCAAAGATGACGACAATTTCGTCTGCAAAATCCAGATCGATAAGGTTATCACCAGCATCGTTTTCTGAATCCTTTTCAGCCTTTTCAGTCATTATTCCATCACTCGTGAAGTTGAACAAGAATGGAAATTGTGGCTAACCTTGTCGGACACCACTTTTTGTAGGAGAGCTTTTGTAGAGCCCGCCTTACACTCTCACACCCAGGTGCATGATAATATAGCGATCGAATTATGTCCACAGGCTCCTGGGGCATGCTCTGTTGAGCAATTGCGTTTAAAAGCACTGACAATCGACGGTCTCTTTCTTCCAGATAGACCCAAATAGGCTAGACAGGCAGTGACTGAGAAACCGCTACCCTGGAACAGAGCAGATGGAAATTCATCAGCAGAACGATGACGCTTCATCACCATTATCATCATCAAAGACAGCGTCATCAGTGCTAACACTGATGCTTACTCCCGTACAACCATAATGTTCGTTCAGTTATATTTAAAGCCCTAGAGTGAAAAGAGAAGGAGTGGGTGAGGGAGGGGATCTAGTGCTAACCTACATCTAGCATTCTGAGGTGCCTACATCTCCAAGCACTCAGTCAGACAATCTGGAAAGAAAATGACAGCGTGAACACCACTGGCACCGATTGACCGCCATTCCGTGCAATGTCTCCAGCCAAGCGGAGGCGGGGTCACGGGGATCCCATCATGGAAGGCATACAGCACCAAATACACCCAAACTCTTCATGATCTCTTTCACGCCCTTCTGGCGCCATTCTGAAGGAGGCCCGGAGAACAACAGCCGTATTGGCAAACAGTGTTTCGGCATGCGTAGCACATGGCTGAGCACGATGATACTTGACTATAAACATACACGCGGACAATACTGAGGTTGAATGCGACTCCATATTCACAGTCCGCCTTTCTGTTGAATGCCAGGAATCCCGGATTGGAGGTTCAGTTCATCTCATTTTATCAGCCATTAACCGTGTGCTATAGACACAATGGTTCCAGCTGCCACAGCTTCAAGTGGGACATTCCTACCAGTGTCATTAGTCAGTAGTTAGTTGAATCCCGGGGTCCCCATTCAGGGGTGGCAGTTGTCGACCCGACTAAGTTTACTGGTTAGTGTTTTCGTACTTCGTTACCAGGTCATGCACTGTCCACCTCTCGGTCGCTTTCAGTGAGCCCAGAGTTGAACAAAAGGAGCTCCCCTGGCATGTGGAGCAGATGTTCTGATCAGCGTAACCCACGCATCTTGAGTAATTCGTCTATCGCAAAAGGGTTCTATCTTTCTAGGACCATCTGGCGTACCTCAGCATTACAAGGCCGATTTTCCTACCGGATCCGACCAATGCTTCGGATACATCGATGGTCAAATACTGACAGCTCTCACATGTCCTCTGCACGTAGAGATCACATTTCTGATTCATAAAGCAGTGCGGATCGCACTTCCGCAGTGTAGACTCTGCCCTTGACAGACAAACTGACGTAACATGGGCGCCATAGATGTCGGAGGTTGGCAAAACTTTCCTAGTCTTCCCGATTCTTGAAGTATTGTTACTTGCAGCAATTCCATCGGAACTTACCAGGTCGATTTGCTCGCATGCAAGTATGAGGTTTAGGGTTGATCCCACCCAGCATTATAGTGGCACTTTACACTTTTCAGGTGCGGCAAAGTAGTTTAGGTCATTAAAATGGTTTACATTTTTGATGGATCTGAACCAACGATGGAATTGTCGTTCGCATACTCAATGTCTGTAAGCGAACGTCCCTGGAGCATTTGAACCCCTGAGGTTTCAGAAACAGGCAGTGGAATTTCAAGCAGCACATCAGTAGTAAAGTCGAACAGGACGTGGTAAACCCAGCTGAATGCTTGCCGTATACTTGTGCGCGCCCACAGAGATTCGCATACAGCGCCCTCACAAGGAATATAAATGTGGAAGAGATTCCTTCAATCGCGAAACACCGCCAAAGTTTCTCACCATCAACACAGACAAAAGCAGCTTTCAGATCAAGAAAAAAGGACCAACGCGAGATGTTTGACAGAGTGGCGCTGCTCAAGAATTTGTCCCAAACAATGGTCGACCAGGGTGAAACCCAGCTTGATTCTCACGAATCTGTCTCTCCCGATAATCGATCAACCTGCTCAAAATAATGCCAGATGGGACTTTAGATGCGACGAATACTGGGCATATACCGCGTTGATATGACGTTCTTGCGCCGTTTTTGAAAACTAGGATGTCTGTGGTTCCATTCGGCTGGTATTCTGTTTTCGTTCTACATCTTCTGCAATATGGTTATCAGATTGTCCACCAGGACCTCGCCATCTTTGAAGAGTGCGGGGTGTAGACCATACACACTAGGTGCCTTGTCGCGCCTGGAGATTGATATCTCAACCTGGATTTCGGTTTTGATGGTGGATTGGTGTGGATGTTCTATTCGGGTCCGTTGGGTTCTTTCAGCGGTTGTGTTGAAGGAGATTAGTTGAGGTGTTTTTTGAAGTTATCAGTTCATCGCTTCAGACGGTGAATCGTCTCACAGACACCTGCTTTCTTTTGATGGGTTGATCGAATCAGCTCAGAGAGCCCAGCTATTGCCTGCAGTGTTAGTCTTTTCCGTTTCCTGAGCCACCGAATTTCACTAGCCTTCTTTGTCATTCTTAAAGTTCCTGATCATCCGGCGTTTGAATGATCTGCGTGCGCCATCACAGTGGCTAGTTGCTGTTATGGCCTTTCTGGCGGCAATAATGTCTGCTGATCTCGACGATATCCAGCGTTCATTGAGTCGGGTAAGATGGATTGGACAAACAGTTCCGAAAGCGGATAGCACAGCTTCTTTAAACCGCTTCCATTCAACCTCCAAGCAATATTCGTCATCCGCTCGACTCCGTTTCCAGTAGCTTTCTAACGAGGTCGGCTCGATATTGTTGAGCTACTGAGACTTGTCAAGGTTGATTAATGAAACTGCTCTGTTTTGGGATGCGAAGTGCCGACGGAAACTAAAGCACCAACCGGGCTAGCATGATGGCATGATCATAGTCAAGTTGCGTTCCCCAACCTGAAGGATACTCCTTAACTGAGGTTCTCCATCCGCACCTGATAACCACGTCGTCCTAACGAGTTCACGACTATCTTGTGGTGGGTGACCCAAAGGTAGTTTGATGTGAGCGTTTGTGTTGGAAGTGCGTACGTGCTAGGAACAGACGCTGATCTGCACGAATCTGAAGCAGTCTCTCCCTGTTATCTGTACGATGTGCATCCCATCCTTTGGTAAACACTTCGAACCCACAAAGTGCAAGGTCATGTTCGTTCACATGCAGTCACTGAACACGCCTCTTACAATCTATAGGGAGACACTTGAAGTTGTGGTGCGTTTTACGTACCTTGGGAGTTTTATTAGTTCCGACTGCACTATGATAGATGTCAATGCACGAATCTTCAAGGCTTGGATCGCGTATGCTAATTTAAGACACCTGTGGTGTCAAAGCGGCATATCCCTGAATCTCAATGGACGCGTGCATCAGACTACAGTGCGGGCTGTTTTGTTGTATGGTTGAGACTTGGCCTGTTTTAGCGGCGGAGCTGAGACGACTTCAGGTATTCGACAATTGCTGTCTCAGGACGATAGGTCGTATAAGTTGGTGTCGGAGAATCCGTAACGAGGCAGTTAGAAAGCGGTTTTTCGGTTGCGCAACGGGGATTTCCGTTGAAGAATGTGTCTAGCACCAGAAACCTCGTTGGTCGGGACATGTGTGGCTTGTGCTGAACCATCGTTTGCCAAAGGGGGTGCCGTTTTTCGTGCCCAAATCAGAGTGCCGGAATCAGAGATGTGGCCAGCTCTTGACCTGGCAGAGGGGCATTAAAGAGATTACGAAACGTCTGGATGTTGTCGGTGCTAGTCGACTTGCAGAGTTGGACCGCGTGACCCCCACTGCGCGGGGTTGGAGACGCTGCAAGATATGGCTGCCAACCCTTGTCAGTGGCGTCCTTGTTGTCAGTTTCTATCCATATTGCGTGAATTAGTGTCTGGAGGTTTGAGCATCTCGGAATGATTGTAGTATGCTAGCACTAAGTTCCTTCCGTGTCCACGTTTATTCTTTTGTTCACCATAAGCCCTTCAAATGAATCATGGCAGCGCGATAGCGAAGCATCATCGTTGAACACTGCTGTCCATGATGATGACGTTGTGCATCGGCTCCAAAGCTACCACCTGATTGTGCTTCTTACGAACTTATTCGTCCAGTTTGGGCGTTCGTACCACTCGCCAGGATTACTATATCCGTCCCTTTTGCCGACGGAAGCGGTCGGGGGTAGGGGGCAAGATGGTTCAGTGGTTAGAGCGCGAATCTACTGACCGGAAGGTCCGTGGTTCGAACCCGATCTCTGCCTCTCGACTTCCTCTGTCTAGGCTTGGGCAACCTGCCAGTATCCCAGCCCTCGTGCTTCCTTCTGGTGACATGGCAGCTCGGCACCGAAAAGGTGTTACAGATGAAGGATTGTTATTTATTATTGGATAGGACCTGTCCTTCTCAGTCCCAGAACTCCAGTCTGTCGATACGTACGCCGAAATGACGAACAGTGTTTACCGTATCCACCTACATTGATGGTAATTGAGCCAGACAACCGCACAGCGTAAATATTTCTGTTTACTGGGATCCAGTCCAGTAAGGTGCTTTCGAACTTGGGGCTAAGTGCGACTCCCAGAGCGTAGATACCACGAGCCATTGCGTCAGGATCACCGTATACCCGAAGAGTGAAATGTGGAATATCTGAAATCGTCGTCAGTGGCAGGAGATGCGCGACGGTAGTGAGAGTCCTGTATGCGTGTTTCGGTGACACAACGTACATCAACAGAGAGAAGGGGAAGGTTTCAGCGAGGTTTGTTACCCAATTTGACGTGAACTACGGACATTGAAAACTGCAATGTGGATCAGGTCTTTTGAAGTTAGTGAGCTATTGTTTTGGTTTACTCACCTGGGCGAATGTTTAGACACAGAATAATGGCTTGGTGAACAGCACATAGGTTGATCGCATTGCATCGTCCCTTGGGGGGGAGTGGGAGTGAGGGTGAGAGAAGGCCAGTGAGTCAAGAGTTGCAAGGGCGTTTGATTCTTCCCAATTGCCCAAGTCGACGAAGGCGGTTTAGTTGAGTTGCCCCACCTTAGGCCCTTGACACAAAAGTCTAACCCACAAGGCAGTGGGACTTTGTAGGGTTTTGTTCAGGGACCCTGCCCGTAGCCTGTGACTCATAAGTCTGGACATTGAGGCAACGGTTGTTGGGGTCTCTTTCGGGATTCTACTCGGAGGCAATATCTCAATAGTCTGACCTACGTGGCTAAAGGGGAACAGCCTGGCCGGATAATTCAGGGAGGGACGCAGGCGTTACTGTTTCACTCTTAATGCACCGGTGGTCACGATTGTCGATTGGGCGGTCAGAGTGTGTGTTATTTAGTGCCGACCTTTTCATCCTTCTGAGGAAAGCAGCATCACTGCTCCCATAAACATGGACAAGCAGGTCGTCTGGGGGAAACGCTTTACTGCTTTCACACTCCTACAGAACAGGACAGTAAGACTTTACCTCCAGGCCGTCTCATAATACGACTACTCGCAATACGGGGACTCGCTGTCGGACTGCCCCTCGTTAGTACTCCTGGCATGGTTGCATCATCATCATAGACAGCACGACATCAGTGTGCAGCACATGCTTCGCTGCCGAATATTTGTATATGTGCCATTCATGGTTATACGTGACTGGGGAAACTGTCAGACCTACACAGAACGATAATTAGGGTCGTCAACAAAGCCTTTGGCTCAAAAGCCAAGTCCGTTACCATTTTTTAGAACAAATCGCCACGCATGTTCTAGCCCCCAACCTGGAGGGCCAGGAGACTGTTTTGGTTAGACCTTTAACCATAGACCAACCTGGTATGAGAGACTAATTGTCGCATGGATACCTCCCAGTGTAGCTCAGTGGGTCATGTAAGCACACAAACTGTAACACCACGATAGGGTCCTGTCTCTTCACGACAGACTTTCTAACTATCCAACTCGAACGCCTTACTTTCATTTTTCGGTTACCGCATTTTCGTCGAACGGTCGTATCACGTTTCGCTATGAAGTTACTTATTTTTCAATGTGTTTCACTGCAGCACCGGATTTATACTACTCATCGATATAACTGTGAACATTTTCACCTAACCTGCAGAAAATGGTGTTCAATCGAGTGCATCAGTTCTAGCCAAAGGGTTGCTCTTTGAAACATCCGAATCACAACCATTGCGGTGTTGGTTCACGTAGCTTGTCTGGTGGCTTCTTCGGGGGCCATCGAACATTTGGTGTGGGGAAGCGGGCCACGCGTAATAAAATTCAAGAGATCCGGAAGCTAACCACCTTTCAGAACAAAGTTGAACGCATTTTTATGACCTCGATTGAGCTGTAGCTTGTTACTGTGGGATTTCGGTGGGTAGTATCCTTTGTGGTAGTGGGGTCGATCCCTCTATACTGACGTTTCAACTCGTTTATTATACCTGTTCATTATTGTGCATCCATTACCCCTCTCCCGTTTCAGCCACACCCCTGGCTATTTCACCTCCGTTACACTTAAGAACTCAGACGACTATGGAGGCACTTTTTCAGAAACTGGAGAATTACATGAAAAGTGGGAGCCGACATTTGCAATATCCTTGGACGATTTCATCCAAGATTCGCCAATTTCCCTATGTCCATTACTACAAGAACAACATTTTAGTCAAAAACTACTTCTACTCAATCCTACTGACGACTCCGATTACTCTGTATCTCTACTTGAAGCTTCGCAAGGCGAAGAAGGCGTCACAGCACCGCATCGACTACTTCGACCCCAATCAGATTCCTGCTAAAAAGCTTCTGTCTCACCACCACTGATCGGTGTCTTTGGTACCGGGGACACTTTAGAACAACCAGCGGTCGTTTGGTATGTTAGCTGAATTAGTGTTTAATTGAGGCAATAAACGATTTCACACCCGTCTTTTTGTTTTGCCTGTCCGTTTCACCTATCCCTCTACTGTACTCTCCATCTGTACTGATGCCACACTCGATAAGCGTAGTTCTAAATTGCGCTCTCGGGAAGAATTACTAAATTAGTTGTTTGAAGAAAAGAAATATTGAAACTCATTTCAATGGGTTACATTTTACCTCCGAGTGCAACAGGCTTCTACGCTTGTGATGTACTGCAAGGGTTTTAGGTGAAAGAAGAGAACAACCTTCCTTATGGTTACTTCTAACTAGCCGTACAAGACGAAACCGATTTGTTTAACGTGACAACTAAAAATGGGAAGGTGTGTTAGCAACTCCAAAACAAGCTTCAAACATTTGTAAGAGGATGGCGAACGCTCCAAATAATTTAACTCTACAGTATCGGTACGGACAACTATGGTGGCCATAAAAAATTGCCACTGAATTAGGTGAGTGAAAAGGTTGGGAAACCCGTAGTCCCTCCGTCATCTCTGTTTATACGCCTCATCGGACTGCTGTAGTGACCAGTTCATCGCATTTCTCACAGAGGAAGGTAAGCTGTACATCTTCGATGCTAGAATAACTGTGGCGTTCTTGCATTTTTACGAACTCCAATGCTGCAGCTATAGATGTTATCACTTAACCGTTAATAACTGTGGTAGCGATTAGCTGGAATCGGAAGATTTAACGGTGTACCGTCGAGGAAATAAGCTAGGCGTCCGCAGCAGTCTGTCCGCCCTGTTATGTCCGAGGAAAAATGTTTCCAAGCTGACGTCGTGCAACGCGGCATTCTTGTTGTCTCTTTTGCCTAACTTGATAACTCTCAGGGCACCCAAGCGTTGATAGAGGTACGTTCAGTGCAGTCGACAAACTCGTTCAATCCTGACGGTAAGTCACAGTATAGCAGTGGTTGGCGTAAAATTACTATGGAGCAAGCACCCACCGGTGTAGCTGAATATTCTATCATCGCACTACGAGAAGATACAATCCTTTCGCGACGGATGCGCTCGATTCTAGAATTTACCGCATTACCAAAGGGAGTCGATCCGATCAATTCGTCAAACCTGTTGCCCACTGGCATACAACTTTTTCCGGACCGTGTGGGTCATATTCGCATCTGGTTCACATTTGGGAAAATACTACCTCATCTGTTTTCAATTCAGATATTGTTCACTTGAACCAGTGTGGTTCTGGTAAACATAATTTCAGTACAGAAATTGAAGGGATCTTTCCCAGATAAGCCCCGCTAAAAAATTAACCACCGCCACCCAAAAAAGATTAGAAAAAAAAGGATACGAAATTTGTACCTTTAGTTTTTATTGGAGAGGGTGAAGTTGGGACATGTCATTAATAATTTGCATGAAAAGGTTCGTTTTTCGGTACCTTCGCCTTCAAACGAACTCACACAAGTAGCTGTCCACTAAAAGTAGGTGAGTGCCGCATTGACGTTTATTCTGCATCTTGTAGACGTGCCAAAGAGATTCGATGGTTTGTGTGTGAGTTCCAGTCGTTGGATTCACACAGTTTTCGGTATGATTAACCGTTTCATGAGTATGATTCATGTCAATCATCGTTTCAATTCCTTGGTACGATGCCCACATATCGAAGATGATAATTCAGCCGGGAGCGATGCAGGCCTGGATTGTGTCCATCAAGGTGGCCGCAGTTCGATCCGGCACGGCATACATGAACACCCCTTTAGTTTCCCGGCAGATCCTTCCGAAAATCCACTGCTGGGGTAGGACTCGCCCTCTGTGGCTTTGCAAAAACCGTATTGCCGTCTCCTTGTTATGAGCGAGAGTTGAAAGCGTCAGAAAGTCCACTTAAAGTTTTACGTCCGAACGTTGAAAATTTTTGCACAAACTGAGCCTAGATGCGGATAAGGAATTGTTTTTATCAAAAAGGTCAAGGTTATGTGTGTACATTAAATTGGAGCTGGCAAAAGGTGGCAGCGCTCAACTTTTCGCACATTCACCTTTTGTATTAGTGGCGTAGCTTATCTGAAAAAGTTCTGAATGAAGTAGGGGATCAACAAGTCTGAAAATGAAGACGGCGAAATAATGTCTTCACAGGAACAGTGCGGTGGAGCCTAGGGGGATGAGTACGACCGTGACATTTAGTGGGCGATTTAGTCGTATCGAATATTTATCTTTATTATGTCTAATCTGGTCAACTTTCATCTCTCCAGCAGTGTATAAAATTTGCATGTTGCGTCTACGGTCTCGGTAACTAAACTCTGCCTCTGCACATTCAGACATAACGGCCACCTTGACGTGGAGGTCGGGCTTGAATACTGCAATGATCCCATGGGCGCACTGGCTGGCATTTCGTTCCACTAAGTGCAACAATGCCAGGAGGGCCAAAGGGAAGCAGTTAGACCAAGAACAGCGAGACCCCGTACTGCAAATAAGCATGCTACTAGGCGGTCCGAAGGGGTAAAGTCGTACTGCCTTCTACGATAGGTGTGTAAAGGTAGTAAGGTGTTTCCCCCAGACGATCAGCATGTCCATATTCATGGAAATAGCCATAGTGCCCGAGGTAGAACGGGTTGGAAAAGGTCTGCCCACACACCGACCGCCCGACCATTAACTGTGACCGCCGGCGCATTATTTAATATTGTCGAAATAAAACCAAGGAACCTGGTGCTGCCCAAAAGTCATCTACTGTACAGCCGCATTATGAGTCATATATTAAAACCTTACTACCTGAACCTCCAGGTTAGACCAGCTTTTTGCGTCCAGGTGGTTCAGATTATTGATTCATGGGCTCCAGGTGGGGGGGAGGCTCAAGAAAACCTCAACAGTCCCTGTTATGAGATTCAGATGTTTGAGTCAGAGGCTAAAAGAAGGTTCCCCGGATAACCTCCACTTCCTTGTGAGTCAGACTTTTGGGTCAAAGGATCTCGTCGTGGTACATCTACCAAATCCCCTTCCCCAGCCTACGCAACTGGGAATTATAATTTGTCCGCACAGTTCTTTGTCCACCGATGCCCTTCCCAACATCTTCCCACCTGTCAGGGCGCGCCCAGACAGAAGAAAAAGTATGTATGCAGGGAGTGACGCATCCCCAAGGTCACCATCGGTTCGACACGTCCGGAAAGTAGGTGAATTGGCGGCACCCACGAAACACGGCTCTCACCAAACGGCTTAGCAACACACGACCAGCGTAATGGGCCTGAGAATGTTCACGACCGGAACACCACCATTGGCTGTACGGAGCGAACAAGTGAACGAGCATATTTGGCCATCCTAGTCATCCTATAGTCATCCCATATATATTTACGCAGACGCTCTGTATGTTTGTCCTGGCAATACAGCCGTTTCCCCAGTTCTCTGTCTTCTCCCTATCGCGTAGTCTGGCAGGCTCAGTGCAGGCGTAAGCCATAGCTCGGCCACCGCACAATACAACACCACCACACAGGTGAACCTTGCTGGGTCATTTGTTTTCAGTTATCTGACCGATGTACCTTATGCACCCCGCCGCCTGTTAACAATAAACAAAATAACACCTTTCTCAATCCACATGATCCTTTCGGCATAAGAGCCTTAGCGTTCGTCCTCTGTCGAATTAGTAAACAGCCAATGCTCACAGAGAACCCATACTTCTACAAAGCTGATGTATGCTGTGTTTCTGAAACACGAACACAAGACCCAAGCTTGGTCCTGCATCTCAAAGCGCCAAGGATAAACTCAGCTCTTTCACCTATCGCCTTCCGTAAGTCCGGCGATTTAGGGGTGATTATTCGTGGAATATATGGCGTGGGAGTTGCATTTAACCCCAGAGCTGAACACGCTTTTCTACGCACCGTTCGGAAATCATGCCCAATGCCTCAGCATAAAATTGGTGCCTGTTTGTAGTCTTCACATATGCCCCAACGGACTGCAGAAAAGGATACTTTCTATCGAGAGCTGTCCGGGTTCATTCGTTAAGCAAAAGCCATCGAAAATGTTATCCTTGTGGGCGATATGAATGTCCAATTTGGTCGTCTGAGCTTCTTAGACTCACATCTGGGCGCTTGCTTCGGAGTCACTGCTCGTCGACTCCTCCAGTTATGTGCTGATCATCAACCGTCTCTGGTCAGTACGAATTTTCAGCATAAACATTCACATCGCGTAACCTGGCAGCCACCAACTGCAAATCAGCCGTGAACCCATATGGCTCACGTTGCCATCAGCCACCGACGGAGAGCCACAATTCAAGACTGCCGTTCATTCTGGGGCACACAACTTGAGATGGCTCAAGTGGTTAGAACGCGAATTTACTGACCAGAGGGTTCGAACCCAACCTCTACCTCTCGACTTCCCTGTCTAGGTTTGGGCAACGTGGCAGTATCCCAGCCCTCGTGCTTCCTTCTGTGGCATGGCAGCTAGTCACCTGAAGGGTGTTACTGCTGAACGATTTATTTTATTTTTGTTTACACAACTTGATTCTGACCACGCCGTGGTGTCTGCACGCCTGACGGTTCGTTTCTCGTTAAGTCATCTCAAGTCAGCAAGAAACATGCCAATTTACATTCCTCGGCAAACTAACATAGCTCAGTAATACTGACATCACTGTAATGGTAGCGTGGACGTGGATGATACACTGCAAGATGTGAAAGGAGCTATGCTAGCGCCGTTCAGTACTGTCTGTCTAACTTCCCCGATACAATCAAATGACCATTGGATATCGTCGAAATTACTAGCACTGGTTGGTGTCAGGAAATTCATACCAGCAGGCAACGATCGTGGTGGCGCACACAGACCCCTCAAAAGCCAAATAGTTAAGAGCCCAAGGAACGACCCAGAGCTTTGGTGAACATCGCAGGCCCGTTGTTTGGAAAAGCTTTTGCTACCGGAAACAACCATGCCCCATATCAACTGACCTAGGAAAGCAGTTGTCAGTGAAACGGTAGGTGAAAATGGCGGCTTGAAAGATGGGCTGGACATTTCCCAGAACAGTTTAGCTGCTCTCCTGTAATATAGCCTCTGAAGACAACTAATACAGGCAAATGAACCGTAAACCTTAGTAAAAAAAAACAAAATACGAAATATCCATAATGAGACGTGAGAAGGCATCAGGACCAAATGGTCTGTATCCACCCCCGTCAAACAAGGAGGGAAATCCCTGGTGATCCACCGGACAAAGATCATTGGTGCAATATGTAGTGAAGAGAAATTTCCTTCAGAATGGGGTACGTCGGCAGTTATATCTTCAAAAAGAATATGCGGACGTTGTGTGAAATCCAGCCTGGCGTTAGCCACGTAGTTGTGCGTTCGAAGTCGCCCTCTGGTCTTATCGTTCGAAGGTTGACTGAAAACAGTGGGAGACAGGCCTGCGGGAACCAAGCTGGGTTTGATTCTGCAAGAGGATGGATGGATCACATTTTCACTCTCTGACAGACTCTGGAACAACGGTACTGCTTCTAGCAATCGACAAAATTTGCCTTTACTCTGTGGACCGTCAGCCACTATGGTTATATCTGTGGAGCACATGTGTAAAAATAAATTCCTATCCCTCCTTAAAGCGCTGTACGCTAACTCGCACGGACGCCTGTGGATCTACTGGAATCTCTCGCCTTTTTCACTACATTAAGTGGTGTCAAGCAAGACTGTCCGTCTCCACCTTCCCGCTTCAACTTCGTCATTGATACGATTATGCAGTACTCGCCACCAGCCTCTTGCTGGTGTAGCTAAAGACGATATTTCCATCCGGATTGGAAACGTTGGAGAAACTTTTGTGAACGTAAGGCGCAGACGTGACATCAAATCACCTATCAGTGTTCGAGTTTTAATTTCTGTGGTGCATAATATATTGATATATGGATTACAAACCTGGTCTCTGCGCGCTAAGGACGTCAACAAGTCTTCGGTATTTGGCCATCGATGTTTTTGGAGCATTGCTGGAGTCTGGTGGAAACACCGGACCAGTGGCAATGAGGTATTCGAATGCTTTTCGGGAGAAATAACTCATCCACAACAGGTGAACTGATCAGACTCCATAGGTTGTGCCAGCTTGGTCGCCTGTCGACCGAATTATTCGAAGGGCCCTTTTTGCACAACCACACAAAGAATGGAAAAGAGATAGGGGAGGTCATACAATGATCTGGCAGCGAAGCATGAAAACAATTACCAGCAAATTTAGCTTTACTGGCTATTCCCGTCTCCCTGGATGGGGTACCTGAGGCTGTTAAGGATATTTTCAGGTAGCTTAGTCGCGCCCTTAGTGGCACTTATGCCTTTAAGCCGTTGTCTTCAATGCGTAGATCCCCTTCCGATCTCCTCAATGAGAAGTCCACTAGACCCCTGTATTTGCACATCAATTATATCAGCTGCCGCGTCCAATCTATAGGTATCTATCCCACCTCCTTAAATCATCGGCGAAGGAAACTGTAGTAGCTATACCCACTGTACGGTAAGTATGCGGCTTTTACAGCTGAGAATGATGGCTCCCCATATCACCATCTATTCCGAGGACGAACGGTCAATCACACAAGTGGATTGCCTAGCCTAATCGAATAGACGCTTTACACTGGCAGTTGGTCGAACGATTTATCTGTTCAGTTAGGGGATACAAACGCTACCCAGCTTGAAGTTCAACTGGGCATTCTTTGGGGAATATGAAGCTTACGGGGAGCTCATATGTGTGCGTTTCTCCCTTGATGAATCTAATCCACTAAATGTCGTAGTGGGTCTCTGACTGGACCCTTCATTTCATCTCACGCAAGTGTCGTTGATGACCACCTGGTCCAGGACGACCGCTACGGTTGGGAACCGATTTTCTCGTTTACTTCCCACATCTTAGTAATACTTGATTCATTTTTAAGCTTAGCCACGCGCGCACTTGTCACACGTCATCTGTTGGTCAAAATAAATGACACTCCTCAGCCCACATGGTTTCATCCACCAAACATTACCTTCTCATCCTACGTCGCAGCTAAGGTTCCCCCCACAACGATCGGTGGGGCAGTGTCACATTATCCTTAGTAGCATTCGTTGCTCACAAAGAGCAATGTCACTGACAACTGTGTGATCGGCTAGCTTCACAGATGTCTCAGAGTGGAAATTCGTTAAGGTCCTCCTTTATCTCGTTAGTGTGTTGCGAAATTCGCGCTTGCTTGATAACCTATAGCCTTTCTGACATCATGGTTGATGAGCCACAGCGAAAGTAGAAGGCCGGTTACTTCACACGCCACAAGTTTATAAGTAGGTTAATCGTTACTCGGTTGAATTTCTAACTCTGACGCCACATTCAGCCTCAAATTCTCCGAATGCAATTTGTGACATTCAACACTGTAGCTTGAGTGCAATTTCATGCCCAACGTACGTCCATTTCACCACATGCATTTTTAACCTCAATTATATCGGGAATTCGACCCAATCGTAAGTCCCAAACTGACACCCCCTGACCACTCGTAACATGGGGAAGTGCAGGATCGATTGACAAAATAAATCAGTTTTGGTACCATCTTGCTGTTCGTTTGCTAGGTGGTATTCCGAATGGGTTGCCTGACGTAACTGGGATGAAAAGCGCTATAAAAAAATCGTTCAGCTGTAATATCCTTCCGGTGCCTAGCTGTCATGCCACCCGAAGGTTGCACGAGGGCTGGGATACTGCCAGGTTGCCCAAGCCTAGACAGGGGGAGTCGAGAGGCAGAGATCGGGTTCGAACCACGGACCTTCCCGTCAGTAAATTCGCGCTCTAGCCACGTGAGTCATGTCGCACATAGGCATAATTGTTGTTGAATTACCACAGATGACGTAGCACTTATTATGATCTCCTTTGTAACTGAGAGCTTTTATGTTTCCATTTTGAAGGACGGGAAAATTTTATATATGCATCTATAGAGACCCAGTGTGTTATCCACTTTGTGCTTGTAGACGACACAAGATACCAAAACGCATTCATGCCACTATTGTGTGTTTTATTGTCCTTCACAATAGACTGCTCCATTTTCAGGATAAAATTTGTACATGCAAATTCAACATATACTCGCCAACTAAAAAATGTAAGCAGTGCGTTGCAGATATATTTCAAGATGGAAATTCCACCAAGGCCTTTGCACTATTACTCCTCACGCGATAGTATTCAGTGACTGTGAAGAAAGTTCTACAGTTATTGTTCTTCCAACACTCATTGTTAAACTGCCTCTATGGTAGAATGTGCTCCATCAACGCAAAAGACTACGAAGTGAAGAGAAAACAGCCCTAGTTGCGAATAAGAATCGCTGAAGTGATTTATACTAACCTTGAACACTTCAGCAGTATTCAAGACTTTGTTTGGGCTTGGTGGAGTGTTGTCATTCCGAAAGCCCCGCTGTAGTTTGCTAACGCGAAGACCTTTCCTGAAGCGATTATGATAATCAATAATAGGAAACTCCAAGTTAATGCAAGAAACCACCTTGTATCTCTTCATCGTCACTCTATACGTGCTCCATAACTGCACCCACTTCAGGTGTACTTGACTTCCACCCGTCAGGCTTTTTTCTAAGCGGATATTAATGCCTTTTGGGTGAAATTCCAGGTTAGTGTTGGAAGTTTATGCATCAGACAACTGTTATCATGATTTCATGCATTTTTGTGAAGTATTGCTGAAGATGAGTTTAAGTGAACCTCAGTTTGAAACACCGAACCCCATCCAACCCATGACGACATCACAGCTAAAGGATGTAATATGCCATTGAATAATAATATAACCGTTCAGCTGTTGCACCCTTCCGGTACCTAGTTGCCATGCCACCCGAAGGTTGCACGAGGGCTGGGATAATGCCAGGTTGCCCAAGCCTAGACAGGGAAGTCGAGAGGCAGAGATCGGGTTCGAACCACGGACCTTCCCGTCAGTAAATTCGCGCTCCAACCACTTGGGCCATCTCGCCCCGTATTATGCCATTACCAGTTAAGAACGCAAATCCTCAACCTTAATTTAAGCGGAGAATCCTGACATTTACGATGCCCTGTTTGTCCATATGCTTTCGACTGTCGAACTACCACAACTTCGCCATAAACTTTATCGTTCTGAATAACGGTGCCTGGTTCCTTCCTTGAAGTCCCAAAGACCACGAGTTCATATTGTCACTGCAGTCGACTGACACAGTGGACTGATTTTGAACATGATGTGCAGACTCAACCTTTTGGTCCTAGGAAGAGACGCACCTAACATGGCGGGGGTTGTCCTATTCGTGGACACTGTTGCTGTTATGATGTGCTTCGGTGACAAAAATGTGCTTTTTCAGTTTATGAAAGGCGCGTGGGTAGAGGCTCCCCATGCTCTTGATGGTTGCTAACCTATTAAAGTCATGGAATTTATGAGAGTTTCTAGGACTCCACAATAATGCCCCATTCAAACAGGTCACCGTGACTGTACGGAACCAACGCACTGGTCCTTCTGTCAATAATAATGGTGAGATTAGGCTCATGAATGCTTTGCAGGCTTTCAGTTAGAGAATGAGACACGCTGCCTGCGCGCTTGCCTTGATTTGGCTGTGTTCACCCAAGTTTCTTGCCGTACGTCATCACTGGCAGATAAAGCTCTGCGAAATCGAACCCGTTATGAGATAGGTCCAGCCAGTAACCTACACGGATGTCGGTTGAACAGCATGGTTTTAATGGTGTCGTGCGGTCGAAGCCACCTACGAATAGCCATTAACCTCACACGTACGTCAATCGTTTTTCATTGGATTCAGAGATTAACGTACCTGTACGCAAATGGTGAAATGACTCTCCTTCGAATTCCATTAAGATAGGCAGGACGTACGTGGGATAATTTGGCCCTTCGGTGTCGTGTGCTCCTAAACACCAACACACCAGTGTTTATCGTGCATGCTAATCAGTAGTCGCACGGGCAATGTAATATCTTTTTGAGCACGATCCTATGTGACTGAAAGACAAGTTTGTCGTCACCATCTTTCTTCGATAGGATATGTAACCGCTCATATTTTTCGTAATAAGTTGGGCCAATTTAGAGTGCTTCACTCCTGTTTAAGTGACATAAAGCTTGATCAGCAAAAAAAGTCTCGATATATTCCAGTTAACCTGTGGCTTAGATGTACTCTGCCTTGGCACTATTTTCAGTGCTCTTTGTTCCAAGCGTGCCCGTGAGACAATTCTTCTTTCGAAAGAAAACCACAGAGTGGTAAAAAGTCTTTAATGAAATATGTCGCGGAATGTGACCAATTATCAATATGACACCCAAAATGCAGTGTAGCGAAAGTGGATTTGTGTTTAATATGGGTATTAAATGATAACATCAGTAAAGGAAAGCAAGTTTGTGAAAGCGAAAGTACAATACAGCTGCCTAGTGAGGAGTGACGATAGTAATATTAGTAACAATTATGGGTATTGTGAATTGCACGGTGAGGATGTGGTTAGGTCTAGACGAATGACAATCGCGTTATTAACGAATGAGTCGTTGCTCGATTGCGATGAATTATAAAACAAATTCTCTGGGTGAAGATGATATCTTATGATTGGTCCTCGACAGTCATCGTGTCCACACTCGTGGCTAGTTCCGGTTGATTGTCGTCTACCGGTTCGCCATCGCCTACAACCGAATCGACCTCACCCAGGTCTGTGTCATTTTCGGGGGCAGAAAGTTGCAGCTCTTCCACTACATTCTCTGCATTTGACGTCCTCTCGGAGTCGCGAAGTTGATCATTATCAGTTATCTGATTTGAGTTGACAGAGTCTTCTGTTGGATAAGTCTGAACAACGTCGGCGAAGTTTTCTGATGTGACAGTTTCTTCCTCGACAATATGGCTTTCCTCTGGGCCGGCTTCCACGTCGTTAATCGTCTCAACCGTTTCCATGTTGGGGTCTGGTTCATTCTCTGGTTCCTCTACACATGCCGTATGGTCGGCGAACGTCAGTAGTAGTTGTGCACTCTGGTCTGCTTCACTGGTTACATCTGCCTGAATTATTTGTTGCGGATGGTGCAACGCATAGGCAATGTGTTGTTCCTGTCCGTTTACACCGTCTGTACTGTTGGAAGTTAGGACAGCAGTGGCACCCAACATCGAGTCAGATGGCTGTAGCAGTAGTGTGGGGCGCTGAAGTGATGTGGCCAGACACGGATGGAAAAATGAAGACTAGCGTTAGTCCTACCGTCTAAGGCAGATATTAATATGCGGTTGCAGCAACTGTTATGCGATCCTCTAGTTTGTTAAATACATTTGTTCAAACAAACGACGATGTGACTGATTCGGCTTTGCCGAACGTTGATGAATTAGTCAACAGTGACGTGCTAAAAGTAGTTGAAACATACCACAAGAATCCTGGGTGCTATTCACCCTCCAAAGTTGAATTACTCTGGTCCTCCCGGTCTCGCTAGAGAAATTATCAGTTATGTCAATTAGGATTCTTATAGAGATTTCGTAGAAAGATGAAGATATCTCGGCGCGTGGGGGGTGTTGCAGGTCTGCGCCAAGTCACTTTCCCATTTTATCCTTTTCTTCCTTTGTATTTAAGTAAATTGGTCGTGAGGCAGTGCAGCTCCGGTATTCTGGCGCTAGAAATGCAGTTAGTGGAGAAAGTGGTGAACCAATGGTTTAAACAGGGTAGCTTACATCAACAGAGCCATAGCAGTTTGTCAATGGGTTGCTGAGAGCGTAGCTTTAACATCGAAGCAAGCCCACACCAACACAAATAATTGATGCAGCTCAGACGATAAGAAATGGTGTATCACTACTACAACCCAACCAACTTCTAACGAAAGCTATCAGTCTAATTAGGATAAGATTACTTGATTCATTAGGGTAAATCAGGGTAAATCATTTACGGCTCCATAAGTAAATCAAAAGAACCAGACTGTCTCTAGGCGCGAGGTCTTTTGTGTAGGTATGCAAATACTTACTTTACTGCTTCTTCGGGGAGAATTAGTTTATGTTTGGCATAAATGTGGACCACGTGAGACAAACAGTGAAGGTTGACCAGTTTGTCTGTCCAAAGTCTACTTCACATGATAATGTGTTACAACGACTTCCTCATTTTTGCAATTATGAAGCAAAGCGCTGGTTAGGTGCTATGCTCATCATAATGAGCTCAACACGGACGAAATGCCCTGCGCAGCTGGAAATTTCTGGGTCTGGTTACAATTCTTCCAAGATAGAGAAGTTGGTTTCCATAGGTTTTTATTGTTTCACATTCGACAGTATGTTAATGTCAGCAGGCTCTGTAATGTAAACCAGTGTATTGCAAACCTGCTCACCTCACATAACGTTAAAACTACTTCGTCTGTACTTGTACGATCGTGGGAATCTCCGGTGCAGTCATCCTTCGGCAATTTCACAATTTTCCGCTTTAGTATGTGGCGATTACTGTACCTAACCCATAGAACCAAAGTTATTAGACCCTTGATAAGACACCCCTTCGACAGCTCACTGCTGATTTCGCCCTTCTGGGGCTCATCCAGTAGGCGTTATCTTGTGTTCCATCAGTTTTATGTAACTCTCCAGTTTAGTTCGTGCGACCAGATTTGTCAGGAACTTTGAACACCTGAGAACAGTCAAGCCTTATAACTTTTCACGTGTGGTGCCAGTTAGACGGGGAGCACCGTCAACCAAAGGGATACGCCACCAACTGGTAAGTCCCGATCAAGACAAAACGCGTAGTGGATGGCTTATTCAGGATCAACAACTTCGTGTATAACTAATCCTATCTCAATCGTATCCCACACTGAAACACCGAAGCAGACGTATGTGGGAGGTTCGTTCGTAAATCGAAAGCCTCGGTGTACAGTTCAAATAAACCGCTCGTTCATATACCTCCAAGAGGGTAAAAACCTGCAGTGGGTTACCGTACCAGTGGAAAATACTTTGATACCTTGAATATCGGCACAGCTTAGTGGAAAAGTGCCCTTTTTCTCAGTGAGTCTGAGAGCTATCGTAGACGAAAGGTCCACCAAAGTCTCTTGTGAACACCAAAGTAATCATCCATCCATCGGATGTTTTTCAGTAACGGTACAGAACAACATGGATCGACCCAAACCCTAATTACTGGTCACGGTGGTAAACACCGTGAGGGCGCCGATTTTTTTCAGCAATCTGGACTCACTAACCTAGTTTCACTAGACGGAACAAACGACGAATGACGCCACATGAGATGAACCTCACCAGGTGGTGAGTGGACTTTTGTTTCTGCCCAAACGTTGAACGTTTATTGTCTACAGTTCGATTGGCTTAGAGATTAACATACGGGAGACACCGTGGGTTTTATCTTCTGTATGAACATTTCATATACAAGTCTCTCCCTCTGTCTCTGCTTGCACTAATGTGCTTGGCACATTAATGTCTACGTTTCCATGCAAAGTACATTTGAACTGTGTATCAAATATTTTCAACCACGCAGTTCACAAAGAGTTGAATACGCACTTAGCAAGATACCTCCCGTACACAACTACACAAAAGTGTACGATAATGATCCGGCTACACAATACTCCACGCGGTCGGACGCGACGTTTTACCCCATGGGTTATCCCGTACATTCAACCTAATCATCTACCTATGGCTGAATGCGGATTCCAGCATGACAGGAGCAAAGGTTTTAGGTGACCTCTGCAAGGACAGTAAACGCACAAATCACACTTGTGGGACTCCACGTGGATGTACATAAATCTCGATAGGACGGAAATTCGAGTTGCGTACGGTTGAGCAGATGATTTGCAGCGCGCCATATTGACTCATCATGATTCATTCGATCGACTTACAGCGTCCTAAAGAATTGAACACCGAGCTACACCAAAAATGATGCCAAATTGGCGCGGTTGTTGAGTACGTCTCGACTGAACTTTATTTCAATACTCCACAATTAGTCTGTCTCAGTTTAGTGGATGTTGAACGCTCTGTAGCAACCCGGATGATTGCATACGCAACGGCACCCAACGCGCTTATCGGTACGAAAGCTCGTTTTCCTCCTTGCGGAGGCCTATTGTGGCTATCCGGACGGGCCAGTGTGCACGGAACGTGAAGAGAATTGAGTGTCTGAACATGAGAATCGCCTTTATCCATGCCGGCCTAATTCGAATGGATACAAGCGTAAGTTTAGGCAAACCGATAACAGTATAGATAACCCTGACATTCTTTGCATCCGAGATGGCACACCGTCGACAACAATACACCAGCAGTGAATAATAGAACTCAAGTGTTTCTGTGAAATAGGAGCGACCTGGTAGATTTGAAAGTATTTGGACTTAGAGAAAGCAATCCGCATGCTCTCAGGGAGGAACATCGACGACGCGGGACCCACATCTTCGGCTGCTACTGTCTGATGATGATATCCTTTAGATCCATTCTGGATTATTTGGTTTGGACGATTGTTTGACACCGTAAACGAAATCTCGATTAGGAATTGCTTCGAATCAATTAAGCGGAGAGAAAGGACGAAGCAACACACGACACCCCAAGATTATTCGAACCCCTGTCACGACGGTTGTCTTGTGGGATCCGTTCCATGGTTCTCATTCGAGTCTCACTAGGCATCATATTAATCACTTGTAATGTCCGAAGCTAGATGCAGTCACTTACTTTACCAAGCATGAAAGCTTTATGCACAAGCTTCCGAACCGGTGCGGTAATAAACCGAGCAGGACCGAGTACACAGCCGTTATTTTCATTACGTGCCAGAGTGTATCGACAACACCTGTGCTCCAGCAAATGGTGAGCGCGATGGAAGCTAACAGTCAACAATATGGATGTTTGACTTAATTCAGCAGCGGAGCTAGTCGAGGCATATAGATGTCCCGACTCACCTTATACTATTGCTCGGGGGACCAATGAATAGGCTTTCACTCTCCGCAACACCCTACGCCGTGTTAGGCACCGCGCCAAGATATGATCGCAAATGGAAAAGCCCTGCTAGATAGCACCATGAGAATCGTCGGACGTCTGATGACTCGTTTTTTGGGATTAGAAGATATCTCGAAAGATATCAAGTAGAACACTAAATTATGTGACCAGGTACGTATTCGGAATCCTATCAGGAACGTACAAACCACCATGGGCATACAGAAGATGAGCGGAGAATGTGCACTCTTAAGACGAATGGGTAGGGTTATTTTTATATCTGAAGCATCCACTTCCGTTCGAAAGAAACAATGCACCACAGCTTGACGAAAGCACTGAACAGAACACAGACAAACGAACCTTCCTCGAGCAGACGTAAGTCATGTGACTTCGGCCGGCCTTTCCCTTGAACACAAAGCCCTCGTCAAAGTGAAATCCTAATATTCCTATCCCTTCGTAGAATAGAAGTGTTGCGCTCGCACATGAAGGTCAAAGGTTGTCGAGTGGTCAAGAGATACAGAACGGGAGTCCATCACACGCCAACAGTAAGCCCCTGAAACCCAACCGTCATGCTTGGGTTCATTGTGTACTTTTTACGTAGCCGTTCGTTGAATATTTGACCCAGTTCCTTACCAACATTTTGGATACAATTGAAAAGGCATGGACGCGGAGAGGGCATTGTTGGGACTGCGTAGTGCCTAGAAGCCGAATAGTGGACAGCAAACTGATGCAGCAGAAGCCTCGAGTAAGTACCGTGAACAGTGGGGACGAATTAAAGCCGCATATTGACAAGTCCCTACAATCCTTGGCTTGCCGTCCTAGTGTTCATAACCACATGGCTACAAACGAATACCAACCATGTTGTTTCATCGATGCACGATGAAACCAATCATGGCAGTTTCAAACTATCTATCCGATATCCTACAAATACACTCATGGATTTCTTTCGAAAACGAATGCAAGCAATTTACCAGGCGAACCCTCGTTCGCGATCTTGGCTCAAATACCTAATCCTATTTCGAAACACTACGCCGATGGGACAGTTTTGACAAGCGGGAAATACTCCGTCTCTGAAGAACCCTACCAAATTTTTAGTTGTTTCAAATATCCGAAACTAATCGAAGTAATACCTAATCCGAACGTATGTATTTTTCAGCTTCCGAATGCAGCAGGTTTTAAAAATTAGTGGATGTCTTCAGAATTCCCCCCCCCGGAAGAACTACCGTTCCGGCAATGGATAGAATGTGTCCGACTAACCAAATACACAACACTTTCAGTGATTAAGTGAAATGACATGATGAGTCATTCAGTTCCTTTGGACCGATGTTGTTCACAATGTTCCCGCGTAAAACACTGTAGAACATTTTAAAAATTGATAGAAAGTAGGACCAAACAACTCGGATCGGCGTCCTTGCTTTTCAGAAGAAAAGCGAGCTCTATCCACATTGTCGTACATTATGTACCCAAATGAGATCTTACAAATGCCGCTGTTCGGTGAAACGAGAATGTGAGTTACCACTGGGCTAATTTTGCTCCTGTGCCTTTATATCTAGTTTTCTAGTGTACGGACCTCTACCAGCTGGTACCGCAGTCATTTCATTTGTAACCGAAAAACAGGCAGTTGCTGTCAAAACATAGGTTAAGCGCAGCATACTATAAGAATAATACTCGGTACCGAGAAGCTAAGGAACAGCTGCCTAATCATATCCCATCCCAGGGCAAGTAGACTTGGCAATGGTCCACAGGTATCAGGTTTCTAGACAGTACAAAATCAACTCCACATGTCTATCTCGGAGGCATATGCAGTGCACCATCAAACACATGGTGTTGGAGTCAATAGCTAACGCTTTCCCCTGTTAAAACATGAAATGAAATCGATATTCCGCGTTATTCATCGACCTCAGAACACTTTTCATGCTCTGGCATGGTAGAATAAATGTTTTTCGACAGTCATCTAAATAAAAGCGATCCGGAGAACCAATTATGACATTTAGCGTGGTGGGCACTGCCCAGGTCCGAACCACGACCTTTGCCTGAATACTATGCAAGTGCCATTTACTACGCCTGCCGGATGAAAATGTCGGTTAATGGCGTATACCAATCTACAGCAAAATGAATTAATTTGCTTAGAGGAACTAATGGTCTGTCAATTGCTTCGGAGCGTGTGTGTATGCGCTGTCGGCTCATAACTTAACATCTGGTTAACAAGGAAAGAATGTCAAATTGATAGCCATACACAACTTAGTATTAGCCGAGATCCGACGCGTAACGAAAGGGGTCAAAATGCGATGAAAATAAGCAATAGTTGAAGAATGGCGGAATTCTAAACCACCAGAAATTCAACCGATTGCTACCATTCGTTCATTCGGAAAAAAATTCACGACAGAACTGTACAACGTAGAGACAAGCACGTGCTATGCAAGCACAATACGTGTAATAATTTGTTGCGCGCAAACGACAAAAACGATACGAAAGTAGACATACACACAGACATGAGGCACATCAGTCTGTACGTTACATTCAGTAGAAAAGAAACCGAAATCATGCGTTTTTCTTTCGAACCAAAATTGTCTTGACAAAGTGTGGGGATCTGTGTATTCAAGGAGTGTGTGGGAATCAGAGAAATGGTCAACGGACGCGAGTGAACGACGACTGGTGCTGCGCGCACACACACGCAAGCAAACATATAAATTTAATTCTCTTCATTGTTGCGTCGGAAGCTTGGGATTCTAGGGTGACGAACGTAGTTGCACGGGCGAGCGAAAATGGAGAAAGGTTGGATATGAACAACGAAGAGAGAGAGAGAGACATAGAACGCGAGGTGATACGTTAATAGTGTGTGTACGTGTGCATGAAGCGGTAAAAGAGAGAGAGAACATAGAACGCGAGGTGATACGTTAATAGTGTGTGTACGTGTGCATGAAGCGGTAAAAAATAACATGCGGTCGAAGCGAGCAGCACCTAAACGATGATACGGCAAAACGTGCAACGACTCACTGGTCGATATATACAGAGAACAGACTCAAAACAATGTGCACCGAAAAACGGACGACCCCTAAGAATCATTGGAATCACTCACGCCAGCGGATGCTTCGGGCATCTGTCAAGCACAGAAGCAGACGGATGGGTCCGAGTGTGTTAGGAGACAATGAAATTACAAGCACCAATATAATAACTGGAAAGTTAATTTTCAACGAAATAAGAGTAGTGGATACGCATAAGTTTGGCTATGAAAATGGAAAATAGTATCCTCCTGAACAGGAACCACTGCTTGAGAAGGTCTCTCCAGAAGGGAGCAACCAAGTCCGTAAAAAGGCTATCAACCGTGACGTTTTTGAGGGCTGATGTTTATATGGAAGGAGACAGCCGTGTTACGGAGTGGTGGTTCGTTGTGGAATAAATTTCAGCAGAGTACCCACGTGGTCTGTCAGTTAAAAATGACTAAATCAGCGTGTTGTAGCTGCTGAGGTCACCAGTCATGTTGGGAGCGAACACAATGTGTAAGAAACCCTCGGGGGTTGAGTTTTGTCTTAAGGACATGTAAGGATGCCTTAATACATGTGAACCGGTTTTCCAAGGGTATCACTTCTTAACCAGATTTCACAGTCACGACATGGTTAGGTCAAAAAAAGTCAGCCAACACAAAACGGTAGAGACAGATTTGTCTAGCTCACTGAGTCATACCGTCATACTGTGTCATACTTGGGCTGTGAAGTTCTGCAGCGCTAGAGAAGCGACATGAAGTTGTCCGAAAAGTTATCTTCGTTTCATTCACAATGTTTGAATGTTTCGTTCGACGTATGAAAAACGAGAAGTAGTGCTATGCCCTTTGTGAGCTGACTGCACCATTAAAACCCAGGTGATTTTTTGCTGACCTGAATCGTTTTCTGGTCTCATATGGGGTTGGTACTGAGGGCAGTTTTTATGAGTTCAACTGACTTTTTCCATGGGAGCGATAACCACTCCACCTAAACCGCCAAGGTACGCTAGTCCTGGTCTACGTAACACGGCAAGATCGGAAATTATGCAGGGCCTTTAGATCCCTCTCTCCAGTGAGAATATAAACCGAAATTGCAAACCTCCAGGCTACAGTGAGTGGCTATAAAAAATGGGACGTAAAACGCTGATTGTTTAATTAAGCAAACAAGGTTTGTAAGTTTCACTCACAGAACGTGGTTCGAGGCTGGTTGGTTCTAGGTGCTTGAGCGAATTATCTTGGCCTTATGGGACTGAACCAAAACTCAGTAGTAAAAGTTGTGGAAATACACAGCTAATGAAGCAACTGAAGAAATATTGCACATCAAAGGTGTTCCCAAAAGATTATAATAGAGCCAATAAACGAGGGGATGATGAGTTCCAATATACTCCAAATTTACATCACACCATAAATCACGTGAAAATCACCCTTTGGTGAGAGGAAAAGAATGAGGGTAGTGGATTTGGATGAAAGGTACACAGGTCGATGGGTAACGGGATCAAGTGAGTGACGTCAATGTCAAACAAGTTTGTGGGACACGATTTTTCGCAGGCCAAAGACTCCTGAACTTGACGTTATCCACTTTTTATTCCGTGACCCATTGACCCGCGTACCTCCCGTTCAACCCTCCCCATTAACCTTTTTCTTTTCTCAAGGAGTGATATTCACATAACCTTTCATTTGATTTCTGGTTCCATATAAATTTGTGATAACTGGCAATGGAACTCATCGTGCGTTCGTTTATCGGCTCTGGTATCTCCGTTTTGGGAATAGGCGTTCGATATGTTAATATGGGCTATCCACGGATATGCAAGAGCATGTAGGGTGTTTCCATTGGAATAAAGCGATGGAAGCTGTTCCGAAAAGAATCCGCCACAAGTAAAAAATACTGGAGAAGTTGTGTAATATGGTTCCTATTGATCAACCTGCCGAGTTGAGCAGATGACGACTCCCTTCCAGTATTTTATTGAACAAGGTTCTAAATGAAGAGGCTAACTTGTCCAAACAGAAGTGTGACAAATTAGCCTGACTCACCTGAAGTTGTAGTATTTGTGTTCGTTGCCCGTTGGAATCTTGCAAGATTGTTGGTAAAGCGAGTCCAGCGGCACCCTGGGAAACGACCTGCACCACAGGAACGGAATTGCCGTTGACGTCTGTCAGCAGTGTGCCGGTCTGTCCAGCCACAGTAGGGGAAGACATAGCATCCGTGCTGCTCGACTGGAGGTAAATTGAAAAAGAAAACCAACAAGGGATGAAAACCAACGAATCAGGCAGTGAAGAGTATGAAGAAGAAGAGGAAGAAGAGTATGTACTGATGTGGACCAATTGTTCAAGGTTCACGCAGCACAACTGCATATTGCAATAGAGAACCAAGCTTATAAAAGCATTTGTGTATTGTGATCAAAAGTAGGACTTTTTCGCTGCTAAATCACTAATGGCCAAGTAAACGATCAGCTGAATAAAAACGGTCGTAATTCGAATGCACCTTTACCTTGGTCATATGAGGTCTGGGCGGTGTGCCTACAGCCCAGTTCTCGCGGATTACTTTACTGACACGCTCCAAAATGACACCATAGCGGAACATTTATCCAACTAATACAACGTCAGCTTCAGCCCGTGTAGTCGACGAGAACTGCAGAGTACCTCAGCCCATCACAAGCAACTGGTAATTTGTCCATTTAGTCCGCTGAGTAGTGTTACCAGGTTTTAGAAGAACCGTCGCACCCGCTGGGTCACCTAAAGGTGGAATCGCTAAGGGCTTTGTTGAGATCAAATCAACAGTACACTAAACGGGAGTATATGAACCTACTCTGTATGTCACATCCATTCCAGTTCAGGTGTTGAGAATGACCAAACTGTTCCTTCATACGATGCCGAAAGAGTACATATTCAGGTAGAGGCTACCTAAGAATCGCCCTTGGAATCAGTCAGTGAGTACCCAGGCTGAATGATACTTTGACGTACAAGCCCATACTAGTCAAGTTATACGCTGAGCACTTTAAATATCCCTCTGCACGTTGACCTACCTGGAAATGTTGAGGTAAAAGTTGAATTTGGAAAGGCTGTCCAGCAGCGGCGCCTCCAGCCCCAACAGGAAGCTGCAGCACGTACTGTATGGGGGCTACTGCTGGGGCGGTTGTCGTAGTGGCAACTGTGGCAGTTGTACTTGAGGATAGGCTGTTATTGTTGTTCGTTGTCGTTGCCTGACCAGTTACGAGTGCTGCGGTGGACTGAACTGCAGTAGGCGCTGTGGCAAACTGGATAGTTGGTGTCTGGCTCGGTTGAACAACCGTAGTGTTGTCCACCACATCGGGGGTGCCCGCTGCCGAGGTCGCAGTACCACCCAGAGTAATAGTGACTGCTTGTGGATGAGTTGTTGCCGCGGATGCATCAGTTGGGAGCGTGGAGATACTGTGCGTGCTGATTCGACCGTTAGCGGTGGTGAAGGGACTAGAGCCGGTTGTATTCTCCGACTTAACCGTAACGGAAGATGGAACGTTAATATTCTGATTTGTGATTGTCGACGACGAATGAGGCTAGAAACATAGTAAGGCATAAACTCAGCTCGAGTGGTATTCACTCCTAATTAGCTTGATTATTGAAAACTCGTGGTCTAGGAGCTGCAACGCATGCTGGTTGATGGGTAACCCAGGACGTTTGAGAACTGTAAAGCTGAGATCGGGACTTGATACGGAGATGAAGAACACAGAGACAGGTGAATAAGTGAAACTATCAGGCGCTATTTGGATTTAATTTACTCCACCCAACACACCTCAAATGATACTCGAGGAGAAGAGACACCTTTGGAAAACGCAGAGTATAGATGTACTTCCGAATATTCAATAAACGAGACCTGTTTGAAAACCACTTTTACCTACGGCGTATGGAAGTACGATTATTGTTACGCTACATAAATGGTTTAAAACCCTTCTACTCTAATCCACATATCTGGCGAATAGTTCCTTGTTCAATAACTGCCTTCGGTGCCAAGAACACACATACCGATGTGATAGGCAAATAACGAGAGCGCTTCGAGCCCAACATAATCACCGAGGGATAATCCCAGGGTCTTATTTTCGCGGTCAGTCGTCACAGAATGTAGACATACCGATCCATTAGTGCATGCATCAGAAATGAGGCTTCATAAACCTATTCCCGAATTCGTTTTTACACAAAAGACAGATGGGCAACTATTAAGAGCAGGTTTTCTAAGTTAGGAATCCTAACCACTAAACACAGATGTAGAAAACAGTAAGAAATGTGGAGCCGGGAAAGTTATTAACTTTGATTAACCCAAGAGAATGCGAATTACTAAACACGAACAAGAGTACCCACCCGTCGGTGCCCTCGAACTTCCTCGCGTGGGACAATGTCGATGAGGAAGTCAAACTGGTCCGTATCTCCGTCGCTTACTGCCATTGCAATATCGTTCCGCTGCAGGGTGCGACGCCGATTTCGTTCCGTATGAATCCACGCACGTAGGGTGAGCTCACGAATGAATAACTCAGCAGCTTTGGCGAATAGGATCGGAGCTTCTGCACTGATCATCTATCGGGAAGTACAAAAATAAATAAAAAGAAAGGTATTATCTATTAGTCCGTAATGTATTGCCAGCTACTTCATAAAGTTTCGAAGGAAACAAATTAATATTCACACCCAGAGCCCATCGAGACATTGCGAGCTGTACGTGAATTCACTCTAGAGTAAGCGGAGCAACTGAGGCTGGTCGTGGGGCATTCCAAGATCGACCCTTGTTAACTCGTTTGACTAGACAGACAAGAAGTTGAAGATAAATGGAAAAGGTAGTGCGAAATTCGAAACAGTATGACGGATTCATATGAGGAATCAGCACACTGACTTGTAGCTTCGTTTCTATCTGCGGATCTAAGATCAATGGCAGCAGCACCAGTTAGTGACTGATTAACTGGGAATTTCCGTCGAATTTTCGGGTGAAGTTGCCTTTGAAGAATTGGTTGTTAGTAAGTTGGTAGTTGGATCGTAATTGGTTAGAAAACGTTTCATAACCATACGTAACTCACCAATCGCAGCCATCACCAATTCCAATACAGGTTGTTGGTCTTCACAATTGCTGCTGGTTTAACCCTGGATGTATCCATTCTATGCTATTTAAGTGACTGGTGTTTAGTGGCGATTCAACCCTGATAAACCAAGGAGATTTCGCACTTAGCGCCCGCTACTCATCGGGAATTAGAGGTCTTTTATTGGTCACCTATGTGTATCTGGTGAGGATGAGGCCCATCAAAACGTTGTTGGAGTTTCCCATGTAGGCTGATTAAACTGATCATATCTTCTGGAAAAGACGGTCCACGACGTGCTCCTCATTATCCTTAATTTGGGCAATAGAATCCTTCTCGCTCCAGCAGTTTATGACTGTGGTGTGTGAAACTTGACAGGTGATGGGAATGTGATTAGAATTTCGAACTGAAATATCAGTAGGTTCATTGATAATGATATTTTATGCTTTTCCGGTGCTTGATAAGCCGAAGGAATATTTTCCCACGCGCTTGCGACCTAGAACTGAGTTGGAATTTCAGTCAAAAAACCAGACGATGTAGTCTCAACTGATGGAACGAGAATAGGAGAGGTATGATGAGAAAGAAAATGTAAAACCAGTGCAGCCTTAGATCTCATAAACAAGTCGGCAATAATAAGAAAAACTAACAGAAGGTCCTTGAAAAGAGTGCTTACCTCGCCTCATACTAAATGGCAGACAATACGTGAGAATGCGCCCTAGTTTATGGTTTGTGGTAACTAAGCACTGAAATATTGCACATTCCGATGAGTCACCACTATAAAGCTAGTCAGTAGCGAAAAAAACTCACATAACGAAAATGCTCAAATAATTCCTAATTGGTTAAAGTGATGCATATTTTTATCACATACCATTGTTTTGATATCATCATCAAGCTTCATTATCTTTTTTATCCGAGCAAGTGGTAAATCTTGCGTCTTAAATGCGGAATGATCCGATCGTATATTTTCTATTTCGACACGAATGAGCTCCCAGTAGGAAAGCATCTGACTCTGACAATCTGTCAACTGATCGAGCGAATAATCCATGGCGCTAACTGCAACGGATTGAAGAAAACGATAAGACAAATGTCGATAAGTGGCAGAATGTTAATTAAAATGCGACAAACCTGCCGAAAAACTCGTCTTCGAAAGAGGCGCAGGAAGCGCATTGTATTATGTGGCTCTAGAGGTAGCATAAATCTGAGGTTTGCGTTTCCCAATGCCAAACATCTAGACATCCGTCAGAAAGTCCATCCAGTCCACACCGTGCTGTGACGGCGCCAACCAAGGTGTGGCTGCTATACATGGGCCAACAGGGCTCAGTTGGTGAAGCACCAAGGCGTGTTGGGTTCTCGGTTGACAACCGGATCTCCTGCAAAATACCACATGGGCCCTATGACGACACTACAACATGGCGGGTGGTACTCCGCGAGGTGGGCATCGACTGCTCGTCACCACTTGGTGCTATCGAATCGGTGTGCGAACCGTGTGATGGACACCAGCAACTATGAAACCTTACTGTTCTACGGGTCGCAGTTGGATGCATAAGGGCTACAGGAGCGAACTCGAAGAAACACCAGGTCTGACGAGGCAGGCTCATGAGATTGACCGCAGCGACCCCTCTGACGATGCTACTCTCCGTTGTTTTGATGTGTGCACTTAGTTGTGTAAAGGTTAGAGACGCCTCTCGAACAAAAGTCGTATTCCGCTGGACACGTCACAATTATCGTGTTACTCCGTGAATATCTCTCAGATGCGAATGTCCGTCATCGGTAACCAAGGCCCAGCTCTCGGGGTGTAAGCTGGGCCTCTCAACTTGCCTCAAAACCAGGAATGCATTGAATATGAGCTGTTGGAGTGCCCGTCACGAAGAGACTAGACCTTACCGTATTGAATATGGTTGGAGTGCCCGTCACGAAGAGACTAGACCTTACCGTGGTGTGACGGTTTGCGCACCTCAGCGATCCATTGAGCTATACATACTAGTGTCCCGCGACACTCACAGAGTCTCTCATACCAGGTTGGTCAATGGTTAGAGGTCTGACGAACACAGTCTCCTGGTCCTCCAGGTTGGGGGTTGGAACATGTGGCGACTTGTTCCGTAGAAATGGTTATGCATTTGCATTTCCCGCCAAACACCGCTGCCTTGTGGTTAGGCTTTTAAGCCAAAGGCTTTGGTTGAGGACCCTAATCGTCCTCCCGTCTAGGTGTGGGCGCCCTGGCAGTATCCCAGCCCACGTACAACCGTGAATTGCACATACACAAATAAACTCATGCCACATCGGCCGTCGCGTGGTGCCATCAGCCGG